AAAATAAGAAAGAGTGGATCCAGCCATTTGTGGACAAAAGTACAATATGTCAAACGGATAGCGAAACTGTCGCTTTAATGAGTTTAAAAAAATATCTAAACATCACAAAAATCGATAAGCATTATTCTTACCATACAATTTAGCATCCATTCAAAATTATTGTAGACAAAAATAATGATCACCGTCCGATATTGCCTTTAATCCAAAGCTTTAAATCAGTGAAATTTGTTTGAAAATCGATTAACATCAGTTTCTCCTTTAAATTTTACAAACCAACAAAAAAAAACATGAAGTCTGTACAACGTTTTCAAACGATTTTTTGGATCGCTAGTTTTTGAAATTTTTTATGTCTAATCTAATCTTTATTTCTTTGAGCGGCCGCGCTCATCCAATTAAATAAAATATATCCCATTGATAACGGGTAAGACTATATTTATTGGACTCATTTTAGTTACTGCTTTTTATTAAACAAACGTGAAAACTATACACCAAAATGGATAGTAACGTATCGGAAAGTTTTAACTAAAAACTAAAAAGGTTTTTAAGTTCGTTACGCTATGGGTATCAAGAAGATACATAGATATAAAGAGCATATTTTAAAAATATTTTCAGGTATAATTTTCAACGTTTTGGATTATGAAAACATTTTTCAAAAAAGTGGAATTTCAAAAAAGTGGAATTTCCCTTTAATTTTGTCCAGATATCTATGTAAAATTTCACAATAAACAATATTTAAGAGTAAATGTTTTACATTTCACAATGCCATATATGTATGTAGAATTTGTAGACTAAGGCTTTAAATACGGATACGAAATACACGGCTTGAAAACGCCGAGGAACCCGTATGGCAGGTCCTTGTCCACATAGGCGTGCTGTAAAAAAAATGAAACGCACTGCCGTCGCTGCGTAAACCGCCATCGAATGGGTAATGGCTTGACGTTATACGCTAGGCGTTTGCCAATGAAATCGCCTAAAAAAATGTCAAGTGAGCATATTCATGAAAAATATGAAAATAGTTACCTATCTCACCAAGTGGTGATATTCCCAAACGAGGATTTCTTTTTTCAGGTTGACGCCGTTTATTGTAGATTTTGAGTGCTTTGACATCAATTCGTCCGCCATGTTGTCTGTCTATCTAGCAAGTGTGTCACTGTGTCATTCTCAAGTGTAATTTGACGCGTTTTACGCGGCGTTAAGACAAGCCTTACGGGTATTTAGAAAACGCAGTTAAAATGAAATTCACTATCTGTGTGCAAGCGATCTTATTATTTGCGCATTAAATTTTATTTTTGATAATTCGATTGAAAACAAAATTGCATTAAGAATTCAATAAGAGTTGTAAACACCTGCTCATATTATAAGAATAAGAATAAATTATCTTAATATTATTTTTTTTATTTTATTTAGAATTTTTTTTAGAAATACCACGTAAACCCACGCCATTACGATTTGAACAGCGTCATTTTTACGAATGGAAAGGTATCGTTCAGGGGGATGGGAAAAAAAATGCAATGCAATCGATCAACGATCCCGAAAGAGGTAATACATGTATAAAGAAAAGGCTGAAGGCCCCCTGCTTTAAATCCTCAAGCTAATTACATAAAAAAAACTATAATAAGTTACCAGGGCCACTGAACTACAAATAGTAAAAGAGGCGGCAGATGTTAAACATCCCAAACTTTGAGTACTCCATCACTCTCAGTTACATGACCTCAGTAATGTCGGATTACACAGAGTACATTAGACTTATTTATTTAGTACAAATAATATATTCTAAAATATAAGTCGTCAATTTGGTCTCGACATTCATGATTTTATATTTCCATTTTCATCTTTTTCTAATTACTTGATGATCTTTGTCGTTTAAACAATACAATTCATGTTCAAGGAATGTTATGCTATTATGTTCTAGTTGTTTACTATTTACAGTACAACATGGTAATTAGATACGGATGAACTTCAATGGTACTTCATAAAAAACACTCGATCAATCTAAAAGTCCAATTCTATACAGATCTTCCAAGATCACCTTATACGGTAGTTGTACACTATCTTATCGACCGGTTGGGTTGTGAACGCTAGAAATTTTTGATAGAATTTTGATGGCGATGTAAATGTTCAAAATTGACTTTTAAACGCAGTAAAGGTTACATCTGATATCGATAAAACTGAGTGTATATTTTGGTAAAATCTCGAATGAAACAGAATTAAATTGTGCTATATATTATAATTAATTGGCCATAAAGTTTTGATAAGATAAGATTGAATATTGGGCATTTTGGAAGCAAATTTGTTATCGTTCTCCATAGTGAAAGAATTACCTGTGCCGATAGTTGGTCCCTATTTCAGTCAGTCGGTTGGCACTGAAAGGACATTGAGTTATTACCCCTGAATTGGCAAAATACGTCAAAATGTGATTTCAACAAGGGATTGTAAAAAAGTTTTCAAAATGTGTATCGGAGACTCTGAGAGCTTCAATTTTCACCATTCTAAATTTCAAAATTGGAATGGTGCAAATTGATGCTTTCAGTGTTCCCGACACATTAAAAGTCTAGAAAACTTCTTTAACGATGAATGTTTTTAATATTATTCCCTTGACTTTTCTAAAATACAACGTGACAACTGCCTAGTGAACTAGGGGTTAAATTTTAGGTTTGATTGTGACTGAATTTACGCTGATACCTTTGCGATTTGAGAAAATAATAAATAATGATAATAAAAGTTGCGATTGATACCATAGTGTTGATAAGATTTCGAATAAGTAGGCTTATGCCTATAACGTATATTCAGAGATGTGCATTTTAAAGATTACCTTCTCTTTGAAATGATTGTGCGTGTATATATATAATGCCTTTCGATCGACTGTTCAGGTGGTTTACATTTAAATAACCAAATGGCCTGTTTAATGCAGGCTGAAAAATGTAATATTTTATATAAATCATTTATTGTGAATACGGCATATTTTTTAAAATATGTCGTATTAGATAAATTTTGAAAAATCTCACTCTTTGAAAAAAAGAAAAGACATTTATGAAATGCAATAAATATTACATCGGATCTTCATTATGTACATGGCACAGACGAAAATAGCCCATACATGAAAATAAATCCTTGCAAAACAACTCTTAAATCAAATTTGCGTTGATTTCAGGCGAACAAGTTGACAAAAGAAGATCAAGCGGATCAGAAATTGCAATGAATTACTGAATGCATTATAGTTTAGATTAAAAAGAGATTAGAAATAGTGATCATCTGCCCCAATAGATAGCTTAAGACTATGTTGTGTTGCAGGAAGTCTAAATGGCTGCATTCGACATTTGTGTCAGGTCTTAAAACGATTGTAAAGAGTACTTTTTCTCAACTTAATAAGTGAATCGGGGACACTGGAAGCATCGATTTGCGCCCTTCTATATTGTAATCAGACGTTTGTGGTTCTTGCTTCCATTTAAACCTAGGTTTATGACGTCACTATCGCAAAATCTGCTAATAAGATATAAGAACATTTTTTTTTGCTATAATGACGTGGTAAAACACATAGTTAAGGTGAAGTTGCAGGAGCCAGGGTCGTTTTACAGAAAATAGGCTGAGCCGGATTTGCCCCACCCACTTTCAAATTTGTTATCATTCTCATTAGTGAAAGAATTACCTGTGCGGATAGTTGGTCCCTATTAAGTCAGTCAGTCTACCCCCTATTTGTACCCTCAGCCCCGGAAGGTTGGCACTGCCACCAGAGTTTCAACTCATATTCATTTTACCTAGTTTTGGAAGTTTTGTTTACTATACATTAATCAGAATCCCATGTTATTACAGAAATCTAATTTTTGAAATAACTTGATGAAATAATTTGCGTGGGCGTCATCTTGACTCTAGGATCTTTCAATAAGATTTATTACTAATATTTTCTACTGTACTCGGTAAATATATTTCTGATTATTACAGCCAATGTCACGACACAAATTTATAAAGATTGCTTGATAATTAATATGATGGTCTAGATTTAAAACACTGTTGTTTATCAGATATTATATGATATATCATGATCATTGACGTAAAAGACGAAGGTGCTGGAATGGGGAATTTGTAGACGACTGCGCCCTAATTATTTACGTAGTTAGTAGATTTTACTCTGTTATGCGAGGTGCTACTACATTTAGATATTTAATCGATAGGAAATACTGACTTGAAAAAGTACGCAAATCAAAGATCTATAGTTCAAAATTACGTAGAATTAACCGAAGATACAAAACAAAGCAATTGACGCCGAGACCCGAGAAACCGCGTCCATCCGGTTGATCACAGTTGTTAATTGGCCAGGCTCTCGCCCATGTCAAATGCAACGAATCCGATAAATCGCCAGCTCACCGGATCAAAGAATATACTGATGATGTTTTAAAAAACGATCGGCAAATTCTGAAAGTGAATAAATAGGCTTACTTGATTTCAACTCCCAGTGCACAAAAACTCTTGCTAGATTTTAATGAATACTGTTGTAGGCGGGCAGATTCTTTATTTCATTAATTGTAACAAACTCTTGTTTTGATATTAAAAAAGATTTTTATATTAAAGATTGAAATATATTGATAGAGAAATCATTTTGAATGAATCATCAAATGCTCATATATTTTTAGTAGTTTAGATCGACTGGATGGTCGAAGATTCCGGCCGCGCGGGTCGACAACAAGAGAGTAGACCATGAACAACAGCTGACACCTTGCGGCAACTACAAACTCTGGGTGCGCTTAGGTCGATTAAATTCAGCGATTGATTATCCGAGTTTCAACTAGCTTTTAACAATCCAGTTAAGTTTTGGTAAACAAGGTTTAGGTCTGGTAAACAAGGTTTAAGTTTTGATAAATAAGGTTTAGGTTTTGGTAAACAAGGTCTAGGTTTGGTAAACAAGGCTTTGGTAAATAAGGTTTAGGTTTAAGTAAACGAGAGCTCATATAGTGATTATTTTAATTAGTTACTTATTATGTTATTATGAATAGGATATTTCCAGAATGGTAAGTAATGCCGTAACACTCGATTGTACAACATAATTTCCAGAACTTAACCCTTTTTCCCAGCATTTGAAACCTCAAAATATGTCAAATCACTTTCTAAACCTTGCTTTTAACTTGGTAACATCGCCACATACGCCAGGTCTAATCAAAAAGTGTATAATGCTCTTCAGAAAGTTTCAGAAACTTAAATATCATCGATTTATCGATTTATTTGTAAATTTTGAATTATCTATTTTATGATCTAATAGCATAGTTTAAACTAGACGTCACGGGGAATTAATTTTGAAAATCCGACTATTTTGTACAACGTTTTTACTAATGAAGTTTCTAAAACATTGATTACTCCTTCCATTTACAATAATGGAAAAACAAGAATTATTTTAAAATGAAAACATCAACCCCGTCACACCGGACTGCGATCATCTGCGATCTTACGGCGACAGGAAATGCACTAGGTCGCGGTAAAGAGTGAGGAAAGCAGGAAAAAAGTCCCCCAAAATTACAAACTGAAAAACAGTCGGCCTCATACCGTGAGTTATGCGATCATATTACGTTCTAACGTTTTTCCAGCGTCTTTGTCACGTCTGTAGTGCGTTTTATACTGCTCAAGGAGATTTCACAACGCTTGTCTCACGACCTTCTCGATCCCATGGCGCTTTCATGCAATGCGTTGCTGAACAGATCGCAGGACAGTTGCGTTTGTTTTTAACATGTCCAAAATGGCACGATGTCGGTCGTGTCCTACAAACTTATGACGACCTCAACACGCTCTGAGCCAATTTTCCATTGCATTAGCAGCACAGTAAGAACGACTTTCTGGTGTGACGGGGCCATAACAATAAGTCGTAGCTGAAGCCAAATTATTTCAAACTTGGCCAATTATAGTTCCTTATATTTCGGTGGGATAACTATATATAATATAGTTAAAATGTTGACAAAATTGCAGAACTCGTTCTTGCTCTGGACTCACTGGTAAAGATTTCATGGACTAAGTTGACGAAAAATATATGGGGCATATGATTGCAGACAGTTTACATTACATAACGGTCCCGAATAATTTATAATAAATCCCATGAGTGTGATTCAGTAAATAGCCTGTTTTTCAAATCACATCTTTGAAACGAAACTCAATCAATAAAATACTAAACCTTTAACCTGTGTAAAAACTCTTTGATGTGTAGGTAAAGCCAGTGTTTAAATGTCAAAATTCTTTGCTTAATAATATACCTGCATAATAAACTCTTTATTAGATCAACTAAGAGTTAGGCATGTGGTTAGAATACATAAAGATCGATCATAACTCCTCAATAAGATTAATAGATTTACAAGGCAAGTGATTGTATATCCTTAAAATAGCTACCAATACACGTTTACCTTTTATAGCCTTATAAACATAATTTCCAGATAAGTTTCAATAGCTATTTGTTTTTCCGTGAGTGTAATCAGATCGGAAGCAAGACGGTCGTGTTGAAGAATATTGCGACAACCATCAAGCGTCATGATTCAGTTCCGGTAGGTTGGTTAGCGCGGGAAGAGCCTTATTGAGTCTTTTGTTCACCCACATTGTTTTAGCGATAAAATATATGAAGACTCACGAAACATTTGACGTAGATTTATGAAGCAAGCCCGAGACTCGTTGATCATTTGACTATTTGGATTGTAACTGACACTACAACAAGACAAGAGTAAAGTCACAAAGTTTTAAGACAATTTTCAACTGAAAGAATTCTGTGCAATAACAACTCCTTCTATCACTTTGTAGTTATATTTTATTTGAAAATGAAAGACATATGTTTTTTACTTTGGATTTTCCTGTCATCGTGTTTGATTGGATCCACATGTTCATTTCCAATGTATTCAGGTATGTATTCTGTTTTTTTTTTGTTTTGTATTTTCGAAACACCAAATGATTTGATTAAAGAAAATGGAAATAAATATACATAAACCAAAAAGGAAATGCCGGGAGACAAAGACTTCTAATTTTATTTGAAGTTTATTAACGATTTAAATTATCACTCATTTTTTTGAAGGGTTATAGTAATATAGTATAATTTATTAAATTGTTTACAAACTTAATTCATCTACCTATCCATTTAATCAAATTAAAAAAGCTACAGTATAAAAGTTAAAAGTATTTGAATTTTGATAATCGATCTCAAGAGTAGACGAATAGATCTTCCGAAAATAGTAATACCATATTTTCCGCCTTATCTTGCTTATGTTTAACTTGTTCACATTCTACCTAGCTAACTCGTTGACGATTCGCCTTATCCACATTTGACATTAGGTAATAAGGTATATGCCCAAATGTGAAAATACATATTTCCTGATATTCCCAAACATAACCACTTGATTAAAAAAGTTAAAGCTTATCTGATCCATTTATCTGATTTACCTGATCTGCGATCTATTTTAAGCACTAAGGCTTCTAGATCACCTCGTTATAATATTGGTATGTGCACATTCGTGAAAAAAGGGAAATAGTGGTTTTGATTTGTTTTGGTTTGGTTCATTTACTGCATTGTGGAGAGGTTGAATTTACCATGCTTTGTTCAGGTTAGATTTAACTTAGTTGAAGAAGTTGGCAAGAAGTTCCAGTTGTTTATCACTTTTGATGAGATGTCGAGAAGTTCCAGTTGTTTATCACTTTTGATGAGATGTCGAGTCTGGAGTTTCACTTTTCAAGTTTTTGGCTGTGGCCTCTAGTCTTCACAAATCCTGATTTGGGGATGAGTTGATTGGAAGATTGTCTATTCCATTCAGAAACATGTATACCTGGATACAGTCATACCTTTTTCTACGGTATTAGAGTGTTGTTAGGCCAAGTCTGAGTCGCTCAGGGTATGTTATGTGGGAAAAACCTCTCACAATTTTTGTTGCTCTGCGTTGTACATTTTCAATGATCTGTAGGTCTTTTGTATGATGGGGATACCAGACTGTAGTTGCGTATTCTAGAGTTGGTCGGATCAGCGACTTGTATATTGGTAGGAATTAGGAATTTAATATACGAAATTATTAGTATTAATGACTAATGAATTCTGCATAGTCATGATTGGTAGATGGCCTATATAGGTAGGCTTATTATTGAAACAAAATCGTGATATATTAGTATATTGTGTAAGATGATGAAATATCTATTCGATAATTAATTAATTAATGACAATATTAGAATTTCCTAATATTTATTCATTAGCACTTATACTTATTACAAAACAAAATTATATTTATATTGTAGAAGCAATGATGATTTCATGGTCATTTATTTTTTGCACGATTTGATCTTTTGAAAAGGCATATAAGTTTTGAGATACCGTACGTTTTAACTGCAAATTTTCTGAAATCAATCTTTCTGGAAACAACTATAGCCTGACTATTTCTGGAGTCGATTTTGGTCTCAAACATATGTAATTGGGTTAGCTTACGTCGTTGGTTTCAACCTGAATTAACGTGCTAAATTTTAGTAAATAAGTCAGCATTCCTTATTTTCCTATGAGACCCAACTGTAAAATGGTTACAAATAAATCACGAAAGATCAGTGCCGAAAGGTTTAGCCAAGGTTCAGCTGGTGGACAGAATCCTCAACAACTTAATTTGTTAACTTTTTCAAATATAGCGACCATCATCTAAGATTCGCTTGGAAGTTAGTTGCTCTTGAATTTGATTCGAGCCGCTTACAATAATGTTTCAAACTCACCTCTGGTAATATTTTAGAATCGAAAAGTGTTGTTTAGATTGTTTGTAAATGTGGAAAAACGTTCTTATTGCTATTTTTGGACATATTTTTCAAATACATTTTAAACGTCCTCTGAATAACAGTTTGTGGTTATGCTGTATCCTTTTTCATTTTGGAATAAACCAAAACCAATCTATGATTATCTATATACAGACATTTGTGTTGATTCGTGATGGTTTATCATCAATATGCAACTTACGGTATCACTTGATTGTTACTTGACTTTTGTTCAAAATCATAGAATTTGTGGGGTTTCACGTGTATTTTCGCGGAAAATCATCTCCTTTAGAGAGTTGGTCTAGATTTCAAATATTTATTCGTGACAAATGTTATATGCAGGTAACGTAAAGCCTTTACAAAATGAAAAGTCTGCTTTAATTTATAACCATATTTCGGCGTGTATAGCCGCATGAACCCACCCTTTCTAACGGTAAACGGATGTGGAATATGCCATAAATTTAACCAATGTAAACATCGGCGAGTGTTATATGATCATGATGAGTTTATTACACCTTCTCATATCAATTCTTTATTAGTCCCGAAATTTATGGTTAACGTTAGAAGGACACGGCGGCAAAAACAACTTAAAACATAAACAACTAACCACGCCAAAGGACCCGTCTAAAAGACTCTCGTTCTGTTTTTTGTTGTTGTTAGATTTGACTTTTATCGTAGTCACTCTAGTTAGGGTCTGACCACTCCTCTATAATACGGTCATCTCTTTCATATCACCGAAAACCAATCGAATTTCTGCCCTCTCCAGCGCTAGGATTCCGCGAAGCATTAGACTGGTTTATCAAACATTCATTGTGTCGACTGGTGAAAATTGCCTTTTCAATAGTTGTTTTGCATTAGCCCAGTGCAGTTCGATTTGAAGTCAACAGGTCGGGGAAAATTATTTTCATACGTCAAAGCAAGAAGGGAGCGGAGCCAAAGTGTGGTTAGATAACAATAGTTACGAGACGCACTGTGTCCCGGATAGAGTAAGCACACCCTAACTACCAGTTGTTGTCTTAGATTGACTTAAAACTTTACAGTAGGTTAGTTTAAAGCCATGCTTCGCCAATTTAGGGTTGATTTTGGTCTTGAATATGATATGTTAATAGTCTATACGAAAATACTTATGGTTCTTACTTGGAAATTACACATACGAACATAGTTTTTCAGCCATTTTGAATCACTTCCTCGACTTAATAAGTTGCATTTTAATAAAGGCTAAAATATTTCAACTAAGCCTTCAAATCACATTTAAAGTTTAAGAAGTGACTTTATACTATACGTGCACGCACATTTTCCTATACTGGTAATTCTTCTGTAAAAATATCAAGTGTAGGCCTAGTGTATAAAAACTTAAAACATTAAAGTTGAATTGTATCTAAATTGTTTTGTTTTCCATGTGTAATTGTATTATTAATATATTAGCAGGTTTCTATTTGTATAAAATACGCTATAATTACTCCCTTAGCTACCTTAAAGGATGATTGTCGGGTAATTTTAAAATTCAATACCATGAAAATACTTTGATAGAAAAAAAAATCGAGATATTTTAAACCTTGACGACCCAGAGCATTTTAAAAACAACATAGTGTTTTAAGATATATACACTAGTTTACATGCAAGACACTCTAAGAACTTGAACTAGACAAAAAAATGAAACTACCATAGATGGCGATACCCGCATTTCGTCGTTGAGGTGCCTAGTCTGGTGCGTTTATGATATGGAACAGGCGTGGTAACCACTGACCCCAAGAGTTCATTGTACATCAGAATCTCGGAAAGTTTATTCCATTTCGATTTCCCATAAACACGGGATCTTAAACGTACATAAAGTGTTTTTTGCCCAATGCCCAATTTAGACGAATTTAGTCCTTTAAATACAGTTGGCCTTACTCCTCACCAAGTTCATAATCTTGTTCAAAGAAAAATAATTTTCTTTCATTAGATATAAAATATAACCTAAACTTGTTTATTACAAACGGAATTTTACCATTACTTTTCATTTTTCTATATTAACAAGGTCAAGTTGGTAGAGTATTCAAAAAGTAATTTCTCTATCATCACAATGTGAGAAAATGACGGAAAAAATACATCTTAAAAGCTTTTCATTTGGATTTTAATTTGTTTAAATTGCAGAAAAATAATTCGAATGCTTAATAACATTATTTATTTATTTAATGTCTCTTAAATGTTCTTAAAGGGATTGTTACGAGCATCAAAATCTAAATTCCAATATTTCCACATTTTGATCCCATTTGAATAATTAACATCATTTACGATTCTGTTTCATTAAGATTTGGAATAGGTAGGTTGTTTAAGGAAGTTAGAGAACATAAGAGAAATGAAATGTATAAAATTTCCCTCATTGCACAATGCACGAACTTATCCAGCTTTATTAACACAATCAGCAAAACAAATTTATAAAATATAAAAGTCCTCCTAGTCATTTCACTAAAGTACACGTCAAAACTTTCCCACCCACGTCTATCTTCGGGCTGAAAAAGTCACAAGAAGTCTTGATACTGATACACCCTTCCCTTGGTAATTGTTAAAATAGAATATAGAATATTGATTGATGCGTATTGTATATTTCAATCTCAAGTAGGAATCCAGCCACATTAAACTGGAAAGGAAATGCGATAGTCATTGTGTTAGAAAATATTCAATTATTCATATGTCTTATAAAAATGATATATATCTTGGTTATGTTTTTATTGATGTGATATATGCCCTTTTATAGAAGGTTCATCCCACGCAAAATCACTTCCGGTCAGACTTGTTTGAGATCCCTTGACAGTTATTGTTCGAGTACGCTTAGCCACTGTACATGCAATTCTCACATTGTCAAGCCATTGCGAACTTCCGCCCAATAACTTGACCTGTCTTGTAACTTGGTAGTTTGTAAATGCATCTTTTTGATTGGATTGTACGTTTCCGAATGCAGCCAATCATAGCCCTAGACAGAAAGTTAAAATAAGGCATTATGTTCACAGTATTTATTTCGAGGCTCTGATTGGCTGTATTCTCTAGCATACGATCCAATCAAACCTATTCATTCCATGATTAAGAAAAGATTGTCATTGCAGTTAAGTTATTAGTAACAGTTTGTATTAAATTGACATTGTGAAGACGGACATTTCCATGAATGTATACTTCATGACATATTAATAAGTCATATCTGGAACAGTAATGACGGACATTCAACTCATTTCAATTTGAAACTATGATACAGTTCATTGGAAAAAAACATAACTACTTGAAGTTGATTAAAATGAAATAATAAGACCCTTGTTCTTTTTTTTATTAATCGAATTGATCGCAATGTTTATGAATAGCCATTCAAGATATGCTAGACGAAGGGGTTAACAGTGGCAAAGCTTCACGTCGTTCAAAATGGAATTTTAACGAAGACCCCCGTGTGTTACAGGCTGTGTACCTTTCGACAGTTGGAAATCGATAATATAAAGTGTGCACGCAAGTCTCTAATCAGTTGTAAAAAATACAAAAAAAACATAAAAAAAGAAGAAAGAAAAAATGTGACGTAAAACTCATTTCATTTCAATTTCATTTTACAACGTAAATTAATACAAGTAGAAATATTAAAACAGAACTTGAATCATGTTGTTACTCACTTCACGCTATGCGATCTTCAGACAACTGACCTATTTTCAGCCTGTGTCCCTGCTGAAGTTGGACAAGTAGAACTTATTCTCATGTCTACCTTTCGAGAACGTTTGTTAAAAGAAGTGCGCTTAAGGGCATTATTGATGGAAAGCTTTTCAGTTTAACACAAGTTAGATCGTTTGGTTTTATTTGTGTAGGCTTTAGCTTTGCTATTAATGGACCAGGATATCTTATATGATCTGTCTAAGTTTAGGGTAAACGTGTTTTATGAATTTGTGTAGAAAAGAGGTACATAGGAATATAGTTAGTTATCTGTACTGCCATAGTTATGCATAATCTTTGGACCAGGGGTTTTCAACTTTGGGGTAATTTTTTGAAATTTTTTAGGAGTAATTTGCGCTTTGTAGTCAATTATACTTCGTTCTATTCAGTCAGGCTATATTAGGATTTATAGGGGAGAGAGGGTGTAATCGTAAGGATTCATTGGGGAAAGACAGTGTAATCGTAAGGATTCATTGGGGAAAGGGTGTACTCGTAAGGATTTATTGGGGAGAAGAGGGTGTAATCGTCAGGATTTATTGGTGGAAGAGGGTGTAATTGTAAGGATTTATTGGGGAAAGGGTGTAATCGTAAGGATTTATGGGTAGAAGAGGGTGTAATCGTAAGGATTTATGGGTAGAAGAGGGTGTAATCGTAAGGATTTATTGGTGAAGAGGGCGTAATCGTAAGGATTTATTGGGGAAAGAGGGTGTAATCGTAAGAATTTATTGGGGAAAGAGGGTGTAATCGTAAGGATTTATTGGGGAAAGATGGTGTAATAGTAAGGATTTATAGGGGGAAGAGGGTGTAAACGTTAGGATTTATAGGGGGAAGAGGGTGCAATCTTAAGAATTTATATGGGAAAGAAGGTGTAATCGTAAAGATTTATGAGGGAAAGAGGGTACAATCGTAAGGATTTATTGGGGAAAGAGGGTGTAATCGTAAGGATTTATAGGGGAAAAAGGGTGCAATCGTAAGGAATTATTGGGGGAAGAGGGTCTAATCGTAAGGATTAATAGGGGAAAGATGGTGTAATCGTAAGGATTTATAAGGAAAGAAGCTGAATATGACTGATCTAATCTACCTGATAAAAAATAATTGTCGGTGCCAATTTTAAACATTCAAGTGTCATCGAGACTAATAGAACTTGCAGACCATGCCACTTTTGTGATAAATACCATTTATAATACATGATTTTATATGCCTTTCAGCTCCTTGTCTCAAATGCTTCAGTTTAATCATTTACATTTGAATCATATTTAGTAACTCAAGGGTGATAACTACGCTTTATCTTAAGAAATTTCATAAAATTCGAACGCCCCCACAATCTCACCAATATTCGCTTCATTTCAATTTCATTTGAATTAATGATTTTGGTCACGTTCATAATTAAGTATGGTTACATGGACATTTATTATTCATGCATTTTAACATCTAATTGGCACAATTCCGCGTCATTTTACTAAAATGCAGGTGTGTTAAATTCAAAGAAATCTTGAAATTTAAAAATTACATGCAATTTCAGGAAATTTGACTCCACAAATAGAGTAAAATAAGTATCATCAATTCAAATATGGACATAAAAGTATTTTCTTTTTTCCAAATTGATTTTCATTAAAGAGTAGCCCGACAAATTTGGCTTTTGTCATGGTAAATATTCTCTAAATCGAGCGAACCTAAAGTGGATCGGAGAAACTCACAAAAAATAAAACATACAAGTTTACATTAACTTGCAATTAGAACATACAGTAAACTAACAATTAGAGCATACAGTAAACTAACAATTAGAACATACAGTAAACTAACAATTAGAACATACGGTAAACTAACAATTAGAACATACAGTAAACTAACAATTAGAGTATACAGAACTAACAATTAGAATATACAGTTTACTAACAATTAGAACATACAGTAAACTAACAATTAGAACATACAGTAAACTAACAATTAGAGCATACAGTAAACTAACAATTAGAACATTAAGTAAACTAACAATTAGAACATTAAGTAAACTAACAATTAGAACATTAAGTAAACTAACAATTAGAGTATACAGAACTAACAATTAGAATTACAGAACTATCAATTAGAATATACAGTTTACTAACAATTACAACGTACAGTTTTTAACTATTAGAACATACAGTTTACTAACAATTAGATCATACAGTAAACTAACAATTAGAACATAAAGTAAACTAACAATTAGAACATACAGTAAACTGGAAATTAGAGTATACAGAACTAACAATTAGAATATACAGAACTAACAATTAGAATATACAGTTTACTAACAATTACAACGTACAGTTTTTAACTATTAGAACATACAGTTTACTAACAATTAGATCATACAGTTAACTAACAATTAGAGCATACAGTTTATGTTAACTGGAAAATAGAACATACAGGTTCTATTAACCAACAAATAGAGCATACATAAAAAGTGACATTCTATGTCTTCCCTAAAGATGCCGATATTCCATCCGTATATCACGTCCGAAGAACTTGTTAGGCAAGATTTGTCGGGCTTGGAAAGAACGAAGTTTAAATTTCTATTGTTTTCATTTCAGACGATGCATCGCCAGAGGAAAATATCAACAAAGAACTTTATTTAATAAAAATTTTACAAAATTTAAGTGAAAAAGATACGAATGAGAATGGCATATCTGATATAAGTTCTAGTTTTACAAACAGCTTACAAAAAGGAAAATATATAACAGGTAGGGTATATTGATTTCAAATATCATAATTGTTATATTATATCCTATAACAATCGATCTCTCCTGTTATTTCATCCTCAAACTATCATTCTGTTCTCAAGTTTCTATCCTATCTACAAGCTATGATCTTATTCCAAAACTATGATTTTATCCCCAAACTATCATTCTATCACCAAACTATGATCTTCTATCCAAACTTTCAGTTTATCATCAAGCTATGATCTTCTATCCAAACTATCATCCTATTACCAAGCTTTGATCTACTATCCAAACTTCCATCTTATCATCAAGCTATGATCTTCTATCCAAACTATCATCCTATCACCAAGATATGATCTACTATCCAAACTATCATCCTATCACCAAACTATGATCTATTATCCAAACTTTCATCTTATCATCAAGCTTTGATCTGCTATCCAAACTATCATCCTATTACCATGCTTTGATCTACTATCCAAACTATTATCCTATCACCAAGATATGATTATATGTCCAAACTATCATCCTATCACCAAGCTACGCTCTTCTGTCCAAACTATCATCCTATCACCAAGCTACGCTCTTCTGTCCAAACTATCATCAAACTATGATCTTCTATCCAAACTATCATCATGTCACCAAGCTATGATCTTATTCAAACTATTATCCTGCAACCAAGCACTGATTTATCCTCAAGATATCAGCCTTACCCTCACGAAACGATACAACATCGTCCATACATTTTTGATAGTACCCCCAAATTATCATCTTATCCTCTTTTTTGTCACCCAAGAACAGTTACGGGTTCAGGGGGAATAACTCATTAGAAAATGACCTTTTACTAAATTAGAGTAATTGATAAAATTTTTTTTTACCAATAATCTAAGATTAATGACATTCTATCACTATTTTTATCTACTTAGCATTGTTCTATCCACTAGAAATGCTATCCTTCAATTGTGATCATATCACATTGCGGAATGATTTTGTTGTTATAGACAACAAATTCTTGTTTATTTGCATGTGGTGAAGGACGAGTCTTCCCTTTGTTTTATGTAAAAATCATTAAGGTTTCGTTGGTAGATCATTCAAAGCAGTAATTTTTTAAAAAATGATGAATGTTTTGTTTTGGAAGTTATGTAAGCTTTACCTCCAGTAAATCATTACTTTTTGTTGATTTTACATTTTAATAAAGAAACCTGACGACTTTATTTGGTACAATATTTCTGATTTATGACTGTCTCCTGTCAAGACTTTTCTAGAAATATTTCAATTATTTTTTTTTAAATATTTTTCTTCTTTACAAGTAGATTTGGAAAGGAAGGCTGGTTTTTAAGTTCATTGCATTTGATTCGTCTATATCAAATAATCTTCAACATGTATCGACCATTTAACACAAATTGCTATAAAGCCTGTGTTCGAAAAGTTGAATCTTGTGCAATATTACGCTCTCAGGTTGATGAGCAACGTTGTTTTCATCAACTACTGGCATGTGGCAGAATTACTCCATCTGCTAAGTTCAGTCGACATAGCAACGACTGCAATTTCTCATGTTCAACTTTCATTCCGAATTTGAATCCTGTCGAACTTGTCGGACCGAATCTTCAACGATCTATTTGATCGTAGTTGCTAATTGCGAGTCGATGAGTGTTTCACGCATGTCTACGGCGATTGATCTTATTTGAGATCATCAAACCGCAACATATATTTTCTTATGTTCACATGTCATGTCACAGACAGGCACTCTTTTATTTCGAAAGCATAACGTGAGACCGTTCCACTCAAAAAATTATGGGTGGAAGTACACGATACATAACCTTCGACTTTTCTTTCTCAATTATGTTCAGATTAGGGTAGAGGGTAGAGTTCTAGTGTTATGCCGCGAATTGACGAGGTACGGTGTCCGATGCAGTTTACGATGTTGGATTATCGATACAGTAGAAAATAGAAGAGCTGAATTCACTAGTTCTTGGTATCCGGGCACAGACACGATTCCCTTCCACTAATTTCTATTGTATAGATAATCAACACCGCACACCATATCTCGTAAATTCGCGACTTCCTAAAAAGATGAAGAAAGAAAACACATTTTGTTACAAAGAAGAAAGAATTGAATCTATGGCTAGACTGTGACAGTTTGAATGATAACCATGGCTAATAAAACTCTATAACAATCAAATTCATTCCAGTTTTTTGTCTGTACTCTTTGACTGATTCAAATGTGTCATGACCCTAAATTTATCTCAAAAGCATGTTTCCTATATACCGAGACGAACCTTATATCCATATCAAGGGTCAAGATGAAGTCTTTTCCGGATGGATTTAAATGCCAAAACGAACTATCGCCCCCAATTTGACCGAAATTTTGGATTATTGTTATTTGTATCACGCGTGGCATCTTATTATTGGCCCAGTCCTCTTTTGCCCAATGTAGAAGTTTATAACTTAAAGATTAGGAAATTCCGCAATCACGTTCTTAAATATGTTTCGGATACGCTATCAATACCATTAAAAAAATGCCAACACAAGATAATATCATGTCTTTGTTATAAATGATAACATTCATTTTTATCCCAAATGATAATTCTAACAGATATACAAAAGAATTTTGTAAAACACAGCCATCCTTGTGTCCTAAAGTGCTAACTAAAGCCGAGAAGAATTTCTACTTGACTTTGCTCCGGAATGATTTCTAACAGACGTTGCTGGGAAAGCTTTGATATGTTTTAATTTCCTTTATTGCGTAAGACATTACTCGATATGGTTTTAACCTGTTAACTGTAATCTGTAAATCTTATACACATTGAATATATACATATCAAAAGAACAGCTTTTGAATTTTGTTAACGGGAATATAATAGCTTCGTATCTTCGATGCCGTCAAACAGGAAATACCCCATTTTGAAGTTATCTGGGAATTTAATCCATTAGTCTGTATCTATCTACGCATTCGGCAATCCTCGACACTTTCTGAACCTTAATAATAAGTGGTGAATTTCGTCGTGTCTCCTTGTGCGAGACTCTTTACTTCCGGCATTTCACGATTATTTGTCACGTGATTACAATATTACGCCATGAATATAGTCCTTAACTCAAGAGCCTTTTGGAGAATAATTTTGAGCCTTAGTTATATCTTACTGTGATAATATGTTGCAGAGCACTAGCGAGATTTACACACCAGACCATTTTCTAGGAACGACATTGCTTATAAGCTTTCCATTATAAATACCCCCCCTCCCTCAAATCTTGCGTTGAAGTACCCACTTTTGTAAAACAGAAAACATTATCTAATTTTAATGAATGTATATTTTCAGATGAAACTATGGAAACAGTCTTATTGCCAAGTAAAAGAGATATGGGAGTGTTACCGCCATGGAATGAATTCTGCAGGATGATGAGAATCACCCATTGTTTTCACAGTAGACAAAGCTAAATTCTGTCAAAAACTGGTTTCCGGAATTTTATCAACTATCAACACACACGTGACTATAGCTCATGGAAAGACTCATCTATTGTCTTTTGCATGAGAATTCTCCCCTTCGTTGGCAGCGTTAAATTGGTTATAGGAATTTCTTGCAAGTGTTGCAAGCGTGTTTTTATTTTCTAGAGCTTTCAAATCGCTCAACGTTATTCTTCAAAAATATTGGAAAACAAAAACAATGCGAAAATCAAAGTGTCTAAGATTTCTGAAATATATAACTTTTAATGGGAAATTTGAGCAAGGTGTTTATTGGAAATCCTTTTTCAGCTTCAAAAACAGTTTATATAATAGTGTTCTTGTTAAAAATAAATGAAAAAAAAAAAGAAAAACATGAATAATAATATATACACTAGATCTTGACATTTTGATTAAAGTTAAAATAGGTTAAAATGTAATTAATTTGGTTTTAAATCGAAGAAAATTTTTTTTTCTTTGTACAAAACGTTCGAGCCTTCGATAAGATTCTCCTTTATGGCGTCGGATGAACATCCAGTCTAGATTGCAATGCTCTTACGATTCGTTAGAATTTTGTATCTCCAAAAGGTTTCCTGTAACAATCTAAACTGCAATTTATTTGTAAGCTGTAATTTGTATTATCATGAACATTTTGAGAAAATATTAAATAAAGATGTTTGCTACAGATTGACTTCATTGAATTATCAGGATACATTATACCTAAAGAACGTCAATCCCACTAAAACCAAGTTGACATCACTAATCGCAAAATATGCTTGTATCTTGGCCTTCGCGGATAGTAACGTTATCAAACACTTATTTTTAGTGGGATTGCAAGAACCACAAAGGTCTGATTGAAAATTGAAATGGTGATTGAAAATTGAAATGGTGATTGAAAATTGAAATGATTCAAATTGATGCTTTCAGTGTCCCAGATACATAATCAAATTTTGTAGAAAACTCTTTTTTCATTCCCTTTAACATGCATGTATATATGATCGGCAGATATTTCACTGCAGTTGAAATTACTACAAAATAATGTGAGCTATCAAAGTTGGAGTCAATACACAAATTAATGCTTTTTAACAGCTAAGAAATTTATTTGAGCAGCTGTTGAAAGACGTTTTACCAATGGAAAATGGAACTTCAAAATGAATGTCCAGGTCTAAGAATCCAAAAACAGAAGCAGAAAGACACCTGTTTCTTTTTACAAAACTTTTTGAACCTTTTTTTAGAGACTATGAGGTAGTATAAACATTACCAATTATTGAAACTATGGGGTAGTATAAACATTACAAATTATTAAAACTATGGGGTAGTATAAACATTACCAATTATTGAAACTATGGGGTAGTATAATCATTATCAATTATTGAAACTATGGGGTAGTATAAACATTATCAATTATTAAAACTATGGGGTAGTATAAACATTATCAATTATTGAAACTATGGGGTTTGTATGAACTTTATCATTTATTGAAACTATGAACATTATCAAATATTGAAACTATGAACATTATCAAATATTGAAACTAAGGGGTAGCATGAACATTATCAATTATCGAAACTATGTGTAGTATAAATATTACCAATTATTGAAACTAAGAGGTAGTATAAACATTATCAATTATTGAAACTATGGGATAGTATAAACATTATCAATTATTGAAACTATGGGGTAGTATAAACATTATCAATTGTTGTAACTATGGACATTATGAATTATTGAAACTATGGGGTAGTATAAACATTATGAATTATTGAAACTATGGGGTAGTATAAACATTATGAATTATTAAAACTATGGGGTAGTATAAACATTATTAATTATTGAAACTATGGGGTAGAATAATCATTATCATTTATTGAAACTATGGGGTAGTATAAACATTATCAATTATTGAAACTTTGGGGTAGTGTAAACATTATGAATTATTGAAACTATGGGGCAGTATAAACATTATGAATTATTGAAACTATGGGGCAGTATAAACATTGTGAATTATTGAAACTATGGGGTAGTAT